GTAAGCTGACTCCAGGTAGGGATTTTGTGTAGCTGGAGTTGTGTATCTTAAATTGATCTGCTGGGTGTAGTGTAGACTAGGCCAGAGACTTTAAAGTCCGATGGGATCATTCTGTTTATCCAGTCAACCTTCATGCACATCACAGGGCACAGAACCTCACCCTCCTACTCTTGCAAAAGACACGCCGCGTGAGTTACTGAAGTCCTGAAATCATGATCTGAAGACGCCAAGTTACAAACTTCACCCACTTAGGCTAGTTCAAACCACAAGTGAACTGCGCCCCATGCTGCTGAGGAGTTTAAAAACTCCAGGGGCTCTGCCAATGTGACCTGGGGGAAATTCTTCCCGACCCCACATATGGGCATCAGTTAGACCTTGAGCATAATGGCAAGATCCCCCCCAGGCAAACATCTGGGAAAGAATTCACTGTGCTAACTCAGAACCCTCCCCATCTCTGGCGGTTGGAGCTATTTGCTACTAGTAATTACTGATGGGCAACATGCTACTGCAGACAATCTCATCATACCTCTCCCCTCATAATGTATCATGCTCACTCATGAATTTAGTTAGTTATTTTGGCCCCACCACTCCCTTTGGAAGGCCATAAAAGCAAGAGGGCGAGAAGAAGAGGGAAAGCTTAGAAAAGTGATAAGGATAGTAGATGAATGGGCTTTCCCCTGTGGACTTTAAAACCCTCTCATTTAAACAGGCCTGATCTCTCATAATGTCAATCATTGGAATTACAAGTATTTGGCTATGAAGTCATCCTGTTTTCCTCCATAAGTTTATAAATTCCTCCTAACACTGTTCATCAGTTAAGTAATTCTTTACGGGTGGTGGTAACAGATACTGCACAGCAATAATTATTTGACATTGTCTGTTACAACTTTTTACAACGTTGTGATAGGCCTTTCAATCTTTGTAATGACATCTAGCAAAAACAGTCTAAGGTGTAACATGATTGAGGTTCCCGATATATTTTCTAATCATGTCTTTAACAGATTATATTGTACCTACTAGCATCTTCAAACCCCACAACTACCCCCCTCCAGCTACCAGCCTAGAGATTATCTGCTCGATTTTGAGAGACAGCGAGAAGAAGCAAATTGCAGAACTCATCAATGTTATCACTTGTTTCATACTAATTAAGGATGTACAGAACATTAAAGATCTGGATTCCAAAGCCCATTAATGACATTGAGGAAAATTTCAAGCTGGCGCAATAAAAATGTGCCACTCAGAGTGTGTATGGTAAATAGTGTCCTGCTATTATTTTAGAGTATAAACCAGTGAAAATAGGGTTTCTTGTAAAAATACTGGCAGATCCCTGAAGAGAGAATCATCACAAAGGCAATGCTATCAGTGAGGAATATTTACACATGGAAGCTGCTGGTACTACTGTTTCTCTATCCTGTTAGAAATAGTTCCATTGTGACTGCCTTGAAAGTGTGTGTGCACACACACAGAGAAATGATCAATAAATACACTTAGAAAGCCTGTTATGCCATGTTGTGTATCATGAATTCTGATAATATCAATCATAATTGAGTTAGCTATAATCCATCTGACTTCCAGTAGACTGGGGTCAGCAGGGGATGCAATGGCTCACTTCACATCAATTACCATGTAATGTAAAGAGGTGGTAAGCAATTCCCTTTGATAGTTTACAGCTATAAATAATTATAAAGCACTGGTAGTAAAGCTGGCTCTTGGGCACAATATTAAATCATGAATTTTCATTTACTTATATCTCACAGAAGCTGTTTGGCTTACTAGCGTGAAATGTGAAATCCTGATTAGTTGTAGCAATCCTTGCAATAATGTGGTATATGCAAGCTGGTAGATATTATAAAGTGATAATCCCATGTCTTCCCCCTTTCAGATAGAAATATTTTTCACTTTTAATATTGAAAAATTAGATGTGTAGGCTGTGATCATGTATCACGGCAGAGTAATGATGGGAAAGAGGGAGTGAGCTTTACATTGAGAAGCTCTAAAGAGTCAATGTCATGTTTCATCTTCCAGCCAGCTTCTACTCATTCTCTTTGGGTTCTGTTCTTGAAAGTACACAAGTTTCTATGGGACCAAATGAGAAGATGCCAAAGATGAGCTTTATTTCTAGGATTTAACTAAGAAGTTACCGGTCTTAAGACCTAAAAACTTTCTTCCACTGCTTATTAAAACTTTTGCAAGCTGTTATTCATGGTAAATTTGGAATTTGTGCAACATTTATTGGGCTAAACAGGTGGATCAAGTCACACTGGCTCTCTGTCGGTCATGACTGGCTAATCTTATGCCATGTGACTAGAAGCATTGTTTAGCAGAGATAGGTTGAGATGCAAATGGCAAGGGGAGATTAGCATGAGAGAAGATGCATGGAGAGGAAGAGCTGAAAACTGGAAGAGAGGCAAATTGAGGGAAGTCTATTAAGAGAGGAAGCCTAAAGCAAGTGCTGGGATACCAGAGGTAACTGAAGAAATACTGAAAAAGGGCGATGAAAACCAGAGAAAGCACAGAAGACTCTCTAAAATATGGATCATCTCTATCGACTTTTATGGGAGGCAGGGAAGGCTTTAGAAGCAACCAGGGAGTGGCAGGAAGGATAAGAGAATTCACCCAAGCTTGTTTAAGAGAGGAAAAACAAACCTGGAAGCAAACATTTTCCTGAAGGTGACAAATGAAGTTCACTGTTCTCTCACCTTCTTCCCTCCCCCAACTCCCCCAGGAAGGGAATGGGGGAGATGTTGGGTTACCTCAGCAATGCCACAATTTCTAGATTGTTTTCTAGGCTAGAGAGGCTCATCTATACAAAGCTTTTAAAGTTTACCCATCACCTACCTGCAAACACCAGGATGAGAATTTTTCTAACCAGAGAATTTAGCCTTGTCATTTGGGGCCTGAAATACTGAGCAACACAACCCCAGTTAAGGTCAATGGTGTGACGGGGCAATCAGCACTGTCAAACACTGGGCCTTAGGCGTACAGTAGAAAAGTGTCCATTTGCACTGAAATTATCCTGAGTTTCAATGAAGAACTAATATTCTGTGGGTGCCTGTGGCTAACTTAAGTAGTCTTAGCTCATGGAAAGTGGCTAGATATCCTTATATTTGTGATGATAAAATAGGGCATGAAAAAAGTGAAATATACCCGACCTGTTCTCATTTTCCCCTCTGAGTCTGTTTATACAGCAGCTGGAGGCAACAGCCAAGAAAATCACAGCTGTATGCAAACAATTTTCATCATCCAAGATTAGCCAAAGCAGCCCTGTTTTGTGGTTTCATGAAAAAAGGAAAACATTCCACATTCTGGTCTAAAATTTTTTTTTTGGGGGGGGGGGGGGGGGGGGGGGGGGAAAATGAGAAAGGTAGAGTCTCCTGGTGGCAAACTCATTTTCATATTCAAATACTCCTTATGCAAAGTGCACTAGTTTTTCACAGCTTAGACTCAATGCTAGTTAGTTTTGACCCTGCAGAGAGATGCATTGTATATTAAACCAGGCAAGAAACAGTTGCTTCTGGGTAATGACAAAAACAAACAAACCCCACAACAACAGAGTGCAGATATGAACAAGGATAAAAGTGTTGGTGCAACACAAGGACGGACTTAATGGTGAGTAATAGGAGAAGGGAGCAGGACTGAAATGCTGAATGGCATAGGGTTTAGGATAGAGCTGCCCCACCGAGTAACTATTTGGCAAAGCCAAACAACTTTGGAAACAGGTGAAGTCAATGTTCATTTACCAGCCTGAGAGAACATCCTGCAAGAAAGAGCTTTCTCAATGAAAGATATCAAATAGGTTTATGATACTATCACAGCCATGGCCAAGAGGATATGATAAAAGGGAAGGCAAATGACATATGCCAAAGAAATGAGTAGCTGTCATACATATTAGGTGAAATAATAATAATTATTTAGATAAAGCGATTTGATGTTTGCTGTGTGATCAAGTAAATATGTTGCATACGGGTAGGTGGAAATCTGCTGAGGTGGACTGAATATTGGTAATTTCAGCCTCTGAATAATAAATAACTCAACAGTGTCACTGTGAGGCCCAGGTCATAGCCTGGAGAGCAGCACCTTGCTGATCAGGGAATTGCAGAGTGAACTGAACTGCAATCACCAAGCAGCCTGATTTGTGTCCTAAATTGCTGTTTAGCAGCATGATGTGAACCGCAATCAAGGGAGAACCCAGAGGAGTTTCTAAGGGGAGCAAATGGCTTGTTTCCAAGCTCATTACACAAAATATTTACAGCGGTGTACATTAAATTGGAGAAGATCCCAAATTATTTTTACATGAGGTCAGGAGGAAGAGAACTTTTTTGAAAATGATTGTGAGCAAATGATCGTTTCCACTGAGGAAGTTAAAGGGATACTGTATTTCTGATGTTATTTCTGTCTCACTCACTTTGCTCTGCAAAGTCCAGATTCACATGCTATAATCTACCAATTCCTAGTCAGAATAATGTAGTATTTTTAATTTATTTGAGAGCTATTGAAACACAAAAGTGACAGATTTTTTAAAATAAAATATACATTAGAAGTATCCCAAATTTATAATAGTTTCAACTGTAGAAATTGTTTGTGACAACTCTGACAATTGGTTTTTTGAACAACAGCAAGTGAATTTTAGTCCTTTAAAATCGGTCATAATTTGCCAAAAATAATTATTGGACTACTATGTGTCATGGAAAAACACACTGATAACAATCAAGCTACTTTGCCAGATCTTGAAAAAAGATTACTGTCTTAATATTGGCACTTATTATTGCTGTGTTATGTATCTAGTTCCATGATTGTGCAGTAAGTGAACCACAAAAAATAAATTGTACAGGTTATACTCTAGATGTACCAGCAGGTACAGTACAATGCAGAATGAAGGCAGAGTGAAGTTGGCCTGGAATGCTTTCAGGAACCGGAGCGTTGTCCGATACAGGAATCCACATCTAATTATATTTCAGGCAGCAATATTAAAATATTTAGCAGCCAAATTTTTCACTTACCAAAGGAGCTGCTGACTTCCATGGGCCACTCAATAATCTGACAGCTACCCAGTTGAGTATTTTCTCTGAAAGTGATCAGAAACATGAAAAAGTAGAAGATCATTCTGGCTTAGGATGTATAACCTATAGGATAAAACAAAAATAAACAAACACATAATGTGGCACTTTTACTATAGTAGTTACTAGATATTTTAAAATTCCACATTCTGTTTATATTCTCTCTTCTTTTCCTTATTTCCTTATCCCTGTATGGTTGTAATGTTGTATCTTTCGCTTTTGTGGTTCCTTCCCCAGCTATACTGTTCCCCAGAGAATCACAACATACATCTGGTTACTATAAAAGGAGGAGGGAAAAGACCCAAACCAAACCAAACAAACAAACAAAAAATCGACCCTGGATCAAGGTGCCCCCAGTCTGTTTCCTGATGATGTTACTGTTCAAAAGGCCAAGAGAAAATAGAATAAAAATAATAAATCCTGGACATAAATATTATCAAAGAACATGGTGGCCTTACCATGACGTACAGTGACTCCCCTGAGTGGAGCTGCTTTCTGCCTAAACAAGTCACCAGTCTGATATGACACATAACAAGCTGCTGTTACACAGTAAGCACAAAACACTGGATTTTAACAACTGTCTCATGATCAATTTTTGAACCTTTTG